CACACTCACAGTTCCCGGTTTTTGAAGCGTGTCCATGCGGTGTGTGAGTGTGGGCACGACCTCCTCCTCTCTGCCCACGTGTGAGCATGGCTGCAGCCCCTGGGCCAGGCTGGCTCTGGGCACACGTGGTGCCCCCAGTGCTTTTCCCAAGCCAGGGGATAGAAGAGGGTGATTTTTCCACCAAACTCCATCACAGAGCCAGGGGATGACTTGTTCTGCACCTCATCCTCTCCCCTCCGCTTGGTGACAGCTCTGAACTTGTTAGGGGATGTTGGTTAGGGGTGGTCTTGGGCTACCAGCCCCCCTTTCCTCCTGGCAGCTGGGGAGATGCTGTGGATTAAGCTTTGTGGGACAGAGGGAGGTGCTGGAGGAGCCCCAGCCCTGTGTCAGGTCCATCCCCTGCAGCACCTGCTGGGCACCAAGCCGTGTCCAAACCCACATGCAATACATGCAAGAACATGTGGACCATGGTGGCACCTGGGGGGCTTTGCTGCACTGGCTGTGGAGACACTGAGATGGTGACACTTTTGAGCCTAGAGACAAGAGCCGTGTGAAGAGTGGACTTGGACTGCAGAGGCTGTGGCAGAGTCTGTGCAGAGGAAGAAATGTGGCTGAGTTGCAGATGCTGCTGCCTGGAGATGCCAGCTCCTGCCCAGCTTCTGTACACAACCCTGAAGTGGCATCCCAGAGAGTCATGGACTGTTATTCCTGTCTCCCTGCCCTTGGTGTGGACACAGCCTGCTCAGGAGAAGAGACCAGCCCCACAGGCAGCCCTGGCCTAAGCAACGAGGGACATCCCAGGGCACCACGGTGGTTTCCTTCAGCTGAAGAGGAAGCTCTCCCCATCTCCCTCTTCTCCATCTCTACATCCCTGTCAGTGCCCCAGATCAGCCCCGTCATGATATCCTGAGAGCAGCAGAGTGAGGCCTCCAGGACCTGCTCCTGGCCCATCTCCAGGGCTCAGTGCTAGAGCACTGCATCCATGTGGATTCCCATGGCTTCTCCTTACAGCCTTTGCAAAGAAGCCCTGGCTCACAGCATTACCTGTCTGCTCAGCAATCTCCTCACAGCTCCAAGCTCAGGACACTGGCAGCATCGTGGAGACCTTGGCCAGCAGCAGGAACACCTCATTTTATGCTCTTACTTCCATGGATGATGATTCTGTAGCACAAGCCAGCATTTCCACACTCAGATGTAGAGGTAACACCATGATGGCAGGGCACAGCTTGCTGCCTGTCCTGCCTTGCCTGGGTTTTCCAGGGCCTGGGCTACACCTCAGAGCATCTCACACTGAGCTCTCAGGATTTTGTAGTGTCCCAGAGCAGGGCAGTGGTGAGGGAAATGATGTTTTCAACACACCCAGCTGGGGGCTGCAGCCAGGCAGGAGATGGAGAGCTTCTCACCTGGAGACCAAACCCAGACCTTGCTTAGCTCAGCAGGGACTAAAGTTTACAATCTGCGCCACGGAGTGACTGAAGCCCCAGGTGAGAGGCAGCTCAGCCCTTTCCCAGAGCCCAGCACAAAGTCCATGGCAGCAAAGGCAAAAACTCTACAATCTTCTCTCCTGGTTGGGGTGGCCAGAGATGGAGACCCTGTGCCAGGATTTCAGCCTGAGCTGTCCCTGGCATTGGCTCGAGGTGAACACTTGCTGCCTGCCCGTGCTTTTGGGCTGCCCATCACCAGCATAGGGCAGCCCTCTCAGGCTTCCAAACCTCCCAAACTCCATCCCTGCCCTGCACACTGCAGGCTGTGAGACCCCTGCCCATGCCCACCACCTGTGCCAGAGGGCAGAGCCACCTCTGCCTTGTGCTGCTCAGGAAAGGCCTCGAGCTCAGCCTTCCTCTGCTTCATTTCTGCCCTCCTGCTGCTTATTTCACCCAGGCTGTGACCATTAGGGTGGCTTCGAGGGACTGGGAAAGAGTGGCAAGTAACAAACTAAAGGGGCTCAAGAAGAAATTTGGGCTGCTAAATGTTCCTTCTTTAACACGCAAAACAGACTTCAACACATAGTTACAGGAACAAGGCTGGCTCTGGTTCTGCTGTGATGACTGAACCATCCCTTCTCTTGATTCCAAGGTGAAGTTGAACTGTTTTCTCCCCTGAAAGCCAAGATAAGACACTTGTGTCTTTGCCACAGCAGGGCTTGGTGCTCCGGAGCAAAGTTTGAGCCCAGTGCTGCGAGCCCCTGTCCTGGTTTTGTGCTCATTTCCACTCTGTGCTGTCTCCAGCAGCTCCCGGTTGTGTCAGCTCGCTGGAGGGTGTGCTGTGCTCAGTCTGGGCAGTGTCCCAGTGTCCAGCCTGGCTCTGGAGCCCCTCGTGCTGCTCTGGCAGGAACCTCGTGCTTCCCAGCGCTGGATCACCCGCAGCGATCGCTGCCTTAAATCCGGCACAGCACACACATCGCTGCTGCTTCCCTTCGAGGTGCTACAACCCCCCGGGCATCTGACCTGACAGAGACGTGTGCCACTGTCTGTGCCAACCATTTCTCTGCTGTGTCCACGCTCTGTTCCAGCCTTCCCTCCTCCTCGATGCCAGTGAATAGCAATACCCGCAGGTCACCAGCGATGCCACAGTCCACGGTGTTCTTGTGACCCTGCACGGCCGAGTGGGACCTGGCTCGGGGTCCCTCGGTGCTGGGTAGCTCTTCCCTGCCTCCTCACCAGCTGCCTTTTCCCAGCTGGTCTCTGCAGAAAGGAGCTTTGAGTCCTGTGCTGCCCCTTGGTGCTGATTAAGCCTGGAGGAGTTTGGGATCTTGGACTCTCCCCGGGCAACAGGAGTGTGGAAGTGGTTTGGTTGAATACTGAACTCCCCAAACCCTTTGAACTACAGACCTTTGGTGGGTGGGGGAATGCAGGTGGCTGTCAAACCTGCTTCCATAGCCCCCAACTTGAAACACCCTTTCCCTCATCCACTCTCCAGCATTGTCTTCCTCTGTCCAAGGTTTCCGTTCTGTTGGATTCGGTGGTTACGATGTGCCTTTCCTTCTCAGGACCTGTTACAAACGACCTTTCTGCTCTTGTTTATGTTTAACATTTATCTTGATCCCTCCCTCTGTCATATTATAAAACATGAACATAATGCATGGAATACAATACAATAAAAGTGTGGCTTAACTGAGCTGCAGTGGCTGTGCTGCACTGGGGGAGACCACATGCTCCCATTGGAAATGGACAGTAGGTAAGGGGTGAAATGATTGTGTTTTATTTGAGGTCACAGGGCTGGCTGACCTCATGATGACTATGCAGAGCTCAGGGTGAGCGGGATCACAACTGGTTCCTCTCCTTTGCCAATTGATCAGCCCTGCTCACCTTCATCATTCCTCCTTGGGATTTCAGGCCAGTCTTTGGGAGTTGTCCTGCAAATGAGCAGACACTCAGTGTTTATATCCACTATTTTAAGATGAAAATATTTAAATATCCAGCTGTTGTGCATGTCCGGAGCAAAGTGGACAGGCAGGTGACTCAGAGGGACACAAGGCCCTTCCCTCCTGGTGCCAGCACTCCTCAGGGCTGGGAGCACAGCCTGAGCACTCAGGATCATAGCAGGGCATTTGTGTCACTTCCCAATACTGTGTGAAGGCTACATAGGCTGAGGCCAGAGTTTGGATAACTCAAATTGCCAGGAACGTTGGTGTGGAGAACAGTTATGATTTGATCCAGCATGACAAGCAGGCCCTGGGCTGCAGCAGGAGCGTGGGGTTTGCTGCTCCCGAGGGACAGCACGGGCGGTTGGGATCTGTAGCTGGGCTGTTGCTGGTAACACACTCTGTTTACATTCCACATTCCAGACAGTCCATGCTCTGGCCTGTCCCAGCACTGCTGCACGTTCTGCCGGGCTGGGCACGCTTCCCAAACACCTCCTTGTTCCTGTGAATGCAGCGTTTACCTCCCCCGAAACAGCTGCCCCCCAAAATACAGCTGGGAGAGCAGCGGTGTGGGAGGGCCCCGTAGGCTGGAACAGCAGCCTCGGGATGCCTGGGAAGGTGGAGGCAGCCAGGGGTTTGTTCTCTTCAGTCACATTACATCACTTGGGAATAATGTTGTCAAAAAGAGGGTTTGTCTAGGAACGGGAGATGCAGAGCCAGCTCCGTCTCCTGACGTGCGCTGTCAAGCTGGAGGAGGGCTCCAAGAAATGAGGGGGTGCAGAGCAGGAGCTGCTGTTTGATAAGGGAAAACTTAAAATTCCTGAGAAAAAGGCTCCTCCTGTGGGGGGAATCCTGCCGGGAGCCCTGCAGAGGCTCAAGCATCCTGGAGATAACCATCCAAGCACTCCGGCACAGGTCACCCACAAAACCTTCTGATGGATTCACAGCAGCTGAGAAACCTCTGGCAGTACCAAACCTAGAGAAGCGTTTGGTTATAAGCTTTATATTGACTTGATGATCTTGAGGTCTTTTCCTAAGTGATTCTGTGATTTATTCCTCCTCAGAAATTCAGCAGGGGAGCCTCCCCATTCACTGCCCCTCTTTCGAGATTGATTAAGGGGGCGAAATTCACCCCAAAACCGCCCAGTCTCTCCTCCTAGGGAGGTGCTGCAGGAGGGGATCCTCCATTCCTAGTTTCCTGCAGGGATGGAACCTCCTGGGTTTTTTGGATCAGGAGCACGAGGCGATGCTGAGGCTGCCGAGCGGTCCCCACCCTGGGCAGCCGCATTCCCCTCATGGCGGGGCCGCGGGGCAGGCCGGGACTCTCCGCCGCGCTCCTCCCACCGGGTGGAAGATCCCGGGCGGCGGGGCCGAGCCGAGCCGAGTCCCGCGGGGCCGCTCCGCCACCGGTGACGGGGCTGTGGCCGGGGTCTCATCGCGGTGCCCACCTGGCCCCACCGCCCCCGTCCAAGGGACTACGCGCCCCAGAGTCCCCCGCGGCCGTGCGGCGGTGCGGGGTACTGTGGGACTTGTAGTCCTTTCGCGGGCTCAGCCCCACCCCGAACAGCGGCTGCCGCCGCCCCCGCGCACTACATCTTCCGTCGGGCATCGCGGCGCGCCCGCTGGCCGCCGGCGGAGACATTTGCGAGGCGAGTGTCTCCAAGATGGCGGCGTGGGGAAGGAGGCGCGCGGGCCCCGGCGGCACCAACAGCGGCGGCGGCCGGGACAGGTGAGGGGCGGCCGGGCCGGGGCCAAGGGCGGCGGGGGCTGCGGGGCTGCACCACCCGCGGCGGCCCCGCGACCCCGCGGCGAGGGCGGGGGCACCGAGAGAGGAGCATGGCCGGGCGGGGCGGGCGCGGGACGCGGCCGAGCTGAGGCGCGGAGGGGCCGGGGGCGCTCGGCGGGGCCGCGCCCGGGGAAGGTCAGCGCGGCCCGCGGCGTGTCTGGGGCAGCGCTGCCCGCGGCGGGATGCGGCGCTGGGGGCCGGGTAGAGGAGGGCCGGCCCCGGGAGGCTCCTTCCGTCCACGGCTATTTTTAAAGGCGGGGAGGGAGCGGCGAGTCCTCCAGGGTGACCTCCTTCTGCTGGTACCGCGCTCTGGCCTCTGCCGGGGCGGAGGAGCGGGCAGCACAGGCTGGAAATACCCACGGAGCAGCGGTGGAAGTTTGGGAATCGCAACTTTAAAATGGGAAAAACAGAGGGAAATCTGACAGAATCAGTTAGGTTCGAAAGATCTGTGAGATCATCGAGTCCAACCTGTGACTGATCCCCACCCCGTCACCCAGACCAGAGCACTGAGTGCCACCCAGTCTTTCCTTAAACACCTCCAGGGACGGTGACTCCACCACCTCCCAGGACTGCTCATGCCAGTATTTAATCACTCTTTCTGTGAAGAAATCCTTCCAAACGTCCGAACGGAACCTCCCCTGGCACAGCTTAAGACAGTGTCTGGTCGAGCTACTTTAAAATCTGTGTGCACAGCTCTCCACCTGCTGAAAATGTCTGGGTTTATCCCGCATTTCCTGACGTTGGCATTTTTCTGTTCTGCCCCAGGGCTGACTGATGTAACCGGCAGCTGCTGAAAGCTGCTGCAGTATTTTCTGAGTTTTCCTTTGTCCTGCCGCCTCGCCTCGAAACTCTGATATTCCCCTTAATTTGTGTTGTGGCTTTTGCTTCACTTTGTTCCCTTGCTGTGATCCAACAGTGTTTGCTTTGATGCTGTTGAATCTACACTGCCAAGGAGAGCCACAAGTAGCCCTGAAAATTCTGGCACTAATGTGATTTGCAGGAATGCTGCTTGTGTTCAGGGAATTCAAAAGTAATTGAACTGGAAGGGCCAATGGAATTCCTGTATCAGTGTGGTTTAAATAAACAACTAAGAATACCACAGTGGTAAAACTGTCTGCACCCAGTGCTGGCACTGCCCCAGCATTGGAGGTGTGGAGTTTTTATGTGGATCTTTCATGTGGCAGATGTGTCCTCCCAGCAGAAGGAAAGAAACAGAATATGGAAAAGAACACTTAATAACTTCAATTATTCTTCCAGGGTGAAGTGAGTTGTTACTGTTGTAATTTCATCTGTGACCTGTACAATAATCTCATTGTTGTTTGAGGTGATCTTTTTTCAAAGCTGTGATTGCTCTTATGATCCAAAATATTCCTAAACACGAGTCACTCCATGAACCTGCTGCATGTATTTTTTTTTTCCTTTGCCAGTGAGAAGGGTATGGAAGAGAACAGCAGCTCCTCCCCTGAGCAGCGTTTCACAATCTCCATCAAAAGCTGGTGGTTCTTTAGGTGTCACCCTGTACAAACGTGACAGGAGGATAATTCCAGAAGGTGTTGGGTGATGTCAGCGAGGTGCTGCTTCTTCCTGGCAGTTGCAGAGCAGGAGATGTGGATGATTTGGCCTCTGCCTCTCCATCAGTGGTGATCCCAAACCACACCTGCCTGTCTTGCTGGGCTGCTGCAGCACCGGTTGTGCAAAGGCAGCGCTGACAGACCTGATGTCATCACATGATGACACGTGCTTTTTATAGGGTGAATACAGTTTTCTTACTCTGGGCAGGATGCTTGTCCAAAGACAAGTTCCTTTGAACTGAATGTGCTGATCCAGTTTTCCTGGTAACTGAGCTGCTTCAAGGAGTGTTTGTAGTTGTCAGCCAGGCGCTCTAAAAGGCATCTGTGTGTTGGAGGTGGTGTGAGGAGACTCAACACTGAATAAAATCCTGTCTGCTGTGAGACTAGAGCAGCTTTCATTTAAAATTATTAAAAAAAAAAAAAAAGACCAGCATATCTGTGGAGACCGAGTCCCTTCATAAGTGACTTTATTGATACAGAGAAAGCTATAATTGGTTAAAAAGTGCTTTCCTTGCTAGGATTGACTGTAAGGACATTAATTTCAAAGGATGTTGACTGTGAACTCCAGCTGGCTCTGGTGGCAAAATAATAATGTTAAACAAAATAACCAAAAACACTGAAGGGAACCAACTAAATATTTGTTTTTCTTCATTCTGGATAGACTCTTTAATGGAGCCTGTCTAAAGGGAATTGTTAATCTGTAGACCAAAACAACTTTTTCATACAGAACAGACACTGGATTGTACTGGGTGTTTTTTGTATAAAAGGCAGCCCGGTTCCACCAGAGCAGTGGACAGCATGTTGTTTGTTCCCCTGGGAGATGTTCTGACAAACTCTGGAAAGAACAGCTTTCATGTCATCACCACTGCCTGCTCTGGCTCCTCTGTGCCCTCACAGAGCTCTCCTTTTGCTACCTGCACTGCTCAGATTTCTGGTACTCTGCTTGCAGCAATGATTGACCTATTTCCATCAGCCTGGCTAATCATTAGTTGACTTAAAATTGACACCTCCTTGTTGTCTGGGGGCTGGATTTGTTGTAATGGTCTGGTGATGTTTTCTTTAGTGTTCAGGGAATGTTGTCCCTTCCTAAGGCTGTTTGAAGAGCTTCCCAATGTTCTCCTGTCCTTTTTCCTATTTGAATTAAAGGTGCATCTTTTGAATTCAAGTCTTGCTTTATTGCCCTGCATTTCCTGTTCTTCCTCTGCTTGAGTGCCCTTCTTAAAGCCCCTGGCCTGACAGCCCTGGCTGAAGGCTTGAGCCTGGTAGATTGTGGAGACCTTCAGCAGAGAAACAATTCTCCAGGTGTTTAGGGAGGGATGTGTTTGTGCTTTCTGTGCACCATATCCTGAGTAGAAACACACTGGGGAGTATGACTGGGAGGTGCTATATTTCCACTGAGAATTAAAGCCAAGCCACAGCTCATTCCTTAATCTTGAAATTAAATTAAATTTCAGGAAGGATTTATGTTGGAGGGAGGGAAGTTTAGTGTTTGGATTTGTCATGCCTTGACTCTGTTGACTTCCCCCAGCTTGGCTGAGATGCTGACAGTTCTCCCAGACATGCTCTGGCCATCTGTAATGTCCTTTTTCTGAGATCTTGCACAGCCAGCATGAACCCCCCCCCTTGCACTGCTGAGCTGGACTGTTTGTGCTGCTTGTGACCAGGTGTTATCACACTACTGCAAGCTTCTCCTTTCTAATTTTTTTAACTGCTTATCAAACTGGTTTTCATTTTCAGTTAATCTGATTGCTTGGTGCTCTGAGCAAAACTCTTGCCTGGGAAAGAAAACTTTAACAAAACTTGACCTATGTGTTACAGGAGGAGCTCACAAGAACTTTTATTTTTGCCCAGAACTATACTTGAGCTTTGTGCAGCTTAACATTTTTTCCAAGTGTGATTTTGAGCATTTGCAGAACTGAGATAGTTGGATAACTTGAAACCCTCACCCAAAGTCTGTCTGGCAGATGCCATTAGGTTGAAGGCACCTGGTCTCAGGAGGCTCAGTCCTTCTCCCTGCAGGTGGGCAGTGGTAGGAGGATGCTGAGGGTTCTCCCAGGGTCTTTTCCCCTGCCTTGTTCTCACTGCTCTGTTCCTTTGTTTCTGCTTTTGCCACTTGGCACCTGGCAAAACTGAAGGCCTTGTCACACGGAGTGACATTGTGCCTCCTCTTTGGAGTGCTACTTATTTCTTCATCCATAAAGATTATCCAGTTGAAAATTCCATTTACCAGGCAGGCTGCTGTTTCAGGAGCCTGCTTCCAAGGTGGAGGCAGAGAAATGGAACTTCAGAAGAGATTCTTCCTTGTGAGGGTGCTGAGGCCCTGGCACAGGCTGCCCAGAGAAGCTGTGGCTGTCCCTGGATCCCTGGAGGTGTCCAAGGCCAGGACAGGTTGGACAGGACTTGGAGCAGCCTGGGATAGTGGAAGGTGTCCCTGCCCGTGGCATGGGGCTGGAACTGGGTGGGCTTTGAGGTCCTGTGCAACCCAAACCATTCCAGGATCTGATGAGCTGCTGGAGCTGTAATTGTTCACCCTCTCCTGGTGCTCTCCCATATTCCCATGTTAGGAAGACAATCCAAATGTAATTTGAAGCTTGCTCTATAGCTAACACAGACACTTCTGCCCTCCTGCTGCTGTAGCTCTGTTAACAATGGGTTCCTTATTTATAACTTTGGCAATACCAAAATTTGACATCATTGAGTTTTAAGAGATTTACATCTTGCTGTGCTGAACAGCTGAGAGTTCTGTCACATTCCCTCATCCAGGCATTCATTCAGCACCAGGAACGAGACACTAAAAGTTCTCAAATATAGAATGCCTGAAGCTGCAATAGAAAAAATACTTGGATAGAAGGCCTAGAACTATTCCTAGAGAATAGCTGTGCAACTTTTTCACTGTGCCGTCTTACTTGGAGTGGGGAGGCAGGTCCTGGAAAATACTTTGATTGAATAATATTAACAACTGCTTTTAGGCTCTGGTCTGTCTAGTAAACAGCCTGTCAGGCTTCTGAACACCTGGCAGCATTTTATGTCTTCTGGCATTAGGTGCTCTCTGGTTATTTACTATTCTTTAAGTAAAATGGAATTTATATAAAATCCCCACGCTTGATAAGTGGTGGATGCCAGCTCAGAGTTGCTTGCACAGCTCTGCAGTTGTGTTTGTCATGGCCAGGGGTGGGTGACAAGCTCCAAAAGGCAAACTCCACGGCCTCCAGTGTTTGAGCAAATCCAGTTGCTTTGACTGCATTTGTTCATGTGCAGCTGCTGTGTTCAGTGGAAAGGCAGTGTCAGGAGAGTTTGCTTCTGTGAAGTCCTCGGCTGAAACCTCCTCAAGCCCACATATCAGTGTCTCTTTCTGTATCATCTGAAATCCAAACAGTTTTCAGCTTTCCATGCTCCAGGGGCAGCCAGTTCTTGTGTGGAAATAATACATGATAACCCCACTTCCCTGAGCAGAAATAGAGACTTGCTGCCTGCCTTGCTGACTCTTCACATGTCCTATTCCAGCAGATATCTTTTCATTTGACATTTTTGGACTGGCTGTTTTGCCATTTTCAGCTTCAGCACTGTGATACAGATTTATTCTGATTTTAGAGGACTCATTTGGAGAAACAGCAGAGTTGGGGGGGCAGACATTTTCAGGGACAAAGCCTTTGTGCTGTTCAGTTCCCAAAGTTTTTTTATTTTTCCCTGTAGAACATACTTTAAATTCTGCTTGTTTTGGCATTGGAGGACTGTGCTTTTCTCGACTTAATTGTTATAAAGCCCTAGAGCCTGGCAAGCCAGAAAATTCCAGAGGAGATGGACAGTGCTGCCTCTGGGCAGAGAGTTGGATTCCTGCTGACAGGTGTCTGTTTGTGGTGTGGCTCTGCTTGTGCAGTGAGGGTGAAAGGAAAAAAAGGGTGTTCAGAGGGAAGAACAGGCAAGAGCTGAGCGAGGAGAAACGAGGCTGATGGGTTAGTGCCACCTGTCCTGGTGCTGAGCCTGGAGAAATCCCATGTAATGTAGATCCTGAATTCCTAGAGTGAGAAGCTCAGTTCCCATGGCTCTTGTACAGGCAGGGAAGGAATGGGCTCCCTTCATCCACGTTTTCCCAGTGATGACAGGGAGATCTAGAATGACAACTGTGCTGTTCCTAAGCCTCTGGGAAGTTCTTAGTTGAATTTGGATTCTGCTTCTCTATTTTGCAGACCTATCTGCATGTTCCCAGGTATTACAAAACACTGAGAGTTCTCCTTGTTGGAAATATTAATTTTTGTCTGGAGGGTTGTGTTAGCACTGGGTTGGCTTCCAGTTTGAAAATGCCTTTCAGCAATAGCTTTTCCATGAAGTCATTATGCCCTAGCAAGTGGTTTCACAAAGTCATGGGTGGTGGTTTACAGTTACCTTAAGCCTCTATATGTCTTTTGCAATGAAACTGGAATTTTTGATTTGGAAGAAGCTGCAGTTGGAGCAGCTGTTATCAGGGAAAAGGATCCTTGGCAGAAATCATGACCAACTGTGTCCTTGCTGTCAGTGTAAGACCTGTTTAACTGGCTTCTTGTTAGAAACTCCATATATGGGTCCTGTCTTTAATTTTTTTTTTCTCTAAATACCTCTCAGTTCACTGCAGAACATCAGAGCCCAGCACAGGATGTGCTGAAAGAGTTAAAGATAATTTTCCCAACAATGTCTGACAAGCTCATTGCCCTAAAGAAGCCCCCAGCATACACGGAATTAAAGTGGATTTTTATTTTTCTTTCTACCCATGAACAGGCCAAGGGGGAAATGCACTGCAAGGAACTCAATAACTACATTGTATGTTGAGTTTTCCTTGTAGGTTATATAAATTCCAGCTGGACTTTTAATGAAACTGCTTATGACTCTGCTTTGGGAGGAGGGTGGTGCCTCTCAGGTCCTGCTGGTTGATGTTTGCTGCTGTTACAAACCCAGCCATGTCTGCAACAGCTTGTAATTTAACAATATTCTTGATTACAGCTGGCCACTGCTCAACCCCCTTTGCAGCCTGAGTGGAGCTGCACATTAAGGATAATGTTTGGCAACAGCAGCTTGTGAATGTGTATTTTTCTCCCTTATTTTCCAGTGCATGCACATAAGTACCACTGTACTAATGGAGCAAAAAGTGCTCATTCTGTTCTCCACATCAGCAGTGTGTTCCTCCTGATATCACGGGGGTCTGAATGCTGTTGGGATGAGGCAGTTTTGTCTGCTGTGATTAGGTCAGATGTGTGATTTGTTCTCCTGCTAAAGGAATCTGCTAGATATTTTTATCTTTGCTAGGCCACGTGCTCAGTTTTGCTCTGGTTAAGCACAAGTATGTCAGAAATATTCATTTCTGCTTAGAAGGGAGGATTTTGCCTGGTTCTGATGGATAGGTTTTTACCCTTTCTCAGAGCAGGTGAACATTATAATCCTATTTCTTAGCAGTCTGTACATGAATGTAGCTGCAGATAAAAGGTGATATGCTGAAAAGGGCGGAGGGAAGGTGGAAAATGTGACGTTAGGCAGCTGAAAGCTGCTGGTCCAATTCAATCTTGACTCCCCTGAGTAGAAAATATGCTCACACTGAAGTGAGCAGCTCTTTCTTCACTGCTTAACCCTGCCTGGGTTAAAAATTTGTTCATGTCTTGCTTTGCTGCATCAGGAGAGGGAGTGAAGCATTCTGCCACAAACTGAATGCTCTGCTGCCTTCCTAACCTCCCCTTTCAGCAGAGTTCCTTGGCCATCTTCGTTGGATTTACCATGGAGTTACTAGGCTGTGTTAATATGGAGGACTGAATAGCAAGCTGCATCAGAAAGCAAATGTATTCATCTGGAGATGCTTCCTCTCCCCAAACCTCCCAGAGCAGCTTGTCTTGGTTTCTGTGAAAGCTCCTGAAATCTGTGTGGTTTGTTCAGTGATGTGTTGTGGTCACTAAGGTGTGACACTGCTGCTCTCTCCAAAGAAACTGCTTGGGTATTGGTGTGGTGAGAAACCATTTCAGGACTGTTACAAGACCCTATTTGTCAAATTGTTCTAGATCCTCCAAGTTAGGAAAAGGTAAGAAAAATACGTTGCCTTCTTTTGGGATGAATTATTGTACAGCAGGAGTAGTCAGCTGATGTGAAATGAAGCTTGAGTTGAGAAGCTGCTGGTTGTGAAACAGAGGCAGTGACCTTGAGGGGCTGCTCTCACTCGGGACACTCATGTCCCGCTCTCCCAGCCGGGTGGGTGAACAGCCTGTCCTTCAGCCCTGTAGTTTTAATTCTTCATTTCCCCTTACCAGGGTGACCTTGTCCTCCACGGACTGTTACATTGTACACGAGATCTACAACGGGGAGAACGCTCAGGACCAGTTTGAGTACGAGCTGGAGCAGGCGCTGGAGGCGCAGTACAAGTACATCGTGATCGAGCCCACGCGCATCGGGGACGAGACGGCGCGCTGGATCACCGTGGGGAACTGCCTGCACAAGACGGCCGTGCTGGCGGGCACCACCTGCCTCTTCACCCCCCTGGCACTGCCAGTAGATTATTCTCATTACATCTCCCTGCCCGCTGGAGTGCTGAGCGTGGCCTGCTGCACCCTGTACGGCATCTCTTGGCAGTTTGATCCCTGTTGCAAGTACCAGGTCGAGTACGATGCCTATAAACTTTCGCGCCTGCCCCTGCATACGCTCACCTCGTCCACTCCCGTGGTGCTGGTGAGGAAGGACGACCTGCACAGAAAGAGACTGCACAACACGATAGCACTCGCTGCCCTGGTGTACTGTGTAAAGAAGATCTATGAACTCTATGCTGTATGACTTCAGCAGGCAAGAGAGAAACCCACAAAGACAAGTGTATTAAGACTCCCACAGTAACATTTTTGTTTTTCCTCTTTGAGAAGTGGTGGAGACTGGGAAGGATTTGGTTTAATAGAGCTGTTATTTTTCAAATAACACATCACTGGTGCACCAAGGTTTTTCAGTTCTTCGTTACACTTGAGATGTGGATGTGTGGTGACTTGAGATCCGTATGTTAGGCCAGGGGAGTCCAATCCAGCAGCAGAATGTCAATGAAAGAAAGCAATAGAAAGAAGGGGTGTGAGAGCTGCTTTCTTTTTTTTTTTTTTTTTTTTTTCCCTTTTTTTTTTTTTGGAAACATTTAAGTATATTGTTTAATTGTATTACACAGAACCAGCCAGAAGTTATCATTGACCATTAAAGGATGAGAATTTGAAATGCTCAAGCTCTCTTGTCACTGTTATCATAGTGATATCATTTTAAGTGTCCAGGTACAAACACATTCTGCTCAGTTCTTGTATGAGTTCCTCCTAAGGTGGATACATCTCCTCTGAAATCCCTTGAGCCACATGCAGGGCTGGGGGCTGCCAAGGTGGGAGCCTACCTGTCCCACCTTTGTGCTATGCCCTTACCAAACAATTCCACTGCTTTTGCCTGGAACACAGGAGCTGCCTGCTCCTGCTGCAAGGCATCCACATGACTGTGTCTTGTAACTGTGTTACCTGAAATTTTAGAATTCAGTCCTGTGCATTAATTCATTTTTTTAGCTCTAAACTCAAAATCTTCTTCTTAGAACGGGAAGTATTTACTCTTCTGTGAGATCTGCCAGTTATTTTTAAAAGATAGGGGCTTGCTGTCTGTAATCTCCTCCCACCACATGGAGAATAGGTGTGGCTGGCATTGGCAGGGCCAGCTTGGCACAGCTCCAGGTGTTACATTTGGAATAGGAGAGCAAAGGCCTGCAGTGAGAGCTGCCTGTGCACTGTGTGCTCCCTGCCCCAGTGGGAGCTGCAGCCTGACCTTCACAGCTGAAACACCGACCTTGGAAGGGGTCAGACCCCAAATTCTGCCTTTCTGTCTTTATCTCTCCAAATTGCCACAGCAGGCACCAAGGACTCCCCCTGTCCCCTCCTCCCTGGGCTGTTCTGACCACGGTTCTGACTTGTGCTTCTCTGCTGGGGCAGTTTTCTGTGAGCAGGGCACACAGCCCATTGTGTGTGTGCTGTGCAGACTGGGCTTGCTGGGTGTTCCAGCCCTTAGCACCAGCACAGACAGCTGTACTGAGTGGGCTGGAGGAGCTCCAGTGGCAGTGAGACATTTCTGGGTGGCAGCAGCCCTTTGTACAGTGGCTGAGCTCTTTCCCTCCAAGGTTAAAAGAAGCTGGGATCCGGAGCATCTATTTATAGCAACAATGTACAGTTGCCTTGGCAGAGCAAAGAAACGCAACTACTTCATCTTTCAGTGGTCTGGGCAGGCTGCCCTCCTACCCTGACATGTTTCCAGAGTCCCTGCTGGATGGATTTGAAGCCAGTGGCACATCTGCCACAGCTAATACTGCTTATTGCTACAGAGGGCCCTGAAATACCTTTGTGCTGCCCACACCAAAGGCGTTCCTGGTCTTTTTTTACTCAATGCATAATGATTCTCAGGGCTGTTAGTTCCTTTCCTGCACCCAACTTCTGGGGTCCTGGTACTTTTTTTTTGTGTTAAGCTTCCGCTGGTCTGGAATGATCACTATGGCAGGTTCCCTAAATGCATGGCTGGCATCAGAGACTTGAGTTAAAAATTAGCAAGTTTCCTGGGGTCTCTTATTGCAGGAGGAAAGGTGAAAAGTCAGCTTAGCTGTCACAATGGGTAGATCTGATTGAAAAACACAGCTCTTACTCCATTCTGAGGTGGAGGAGCAGAGGGGCTTGTTTTCCAAGGAATCTCAGTGATAATGTAGCTAAAATGCTTTCTGTTAGTCAGTCAGGGCTGTAACTGTGCAAGGTGACCTGGGAGAATGAGAGGGGTCTTGAAGGGTATTTTTGTGCACGGTGAAATGATAAAACAACTTCCAGAAATTCTCAGGCAAGTGGAGTGGTGCTGTATCTGCTGTTCCCAGTGCCAGCAGCTCAGTGCAATCAACAGTGACTGGGGACAAACCTCCCTTCAGAAGCCCCCACACTTTGCTGCTCACCCTGCCCGTTGTGGACGTGTTCTGGAGTGTGCAGCATCCCCCTCATCACAGGGAATTTACTTCCAAAGGGAATGGGTGCACTCTCAGCAACCTCTGCCTTGGAGCTGTAGTTCCCACAGTAACTACAGTAACTCCCCCACACATAATTTTTCCCTCAGGCCTGATGTGTTTCACTCTCAGTGCCCTGGATGGGAACACAGAAATGCAAAGCAGCCCCTCGGTCCTTCCTGGGTAGCCACGACCTGAAACACCAGAACATGGAGCAGCTGAACAAGCCTGGCAGGAGCACTGCATTTCAGCAAGAAACTGAGAATCTGAGCATGGGAAACAAAAGGAAAAGCACAACTAACACCAACACTCCCTTTGTGGAGAGGCAGAGAAGGTAATGCCTTGCTTTCCTATCTTAACAGGAAAAAAAGGTGTCTACACACCTGAAAGCTTCAACTCGTCCATCCAGCCCCAAACCTTTCTGTGACACAGCTGCAGCCTCAGCCACAGGGAAGGTGGCAGAGGATGGATGTCCTGACAGAGCAGCAGCATTGTCATCATTAAACACACCCTGGTTCTCAGAGATCATTTATAAATCTGTACTGGTTAAGAAAAGGCTTTTGGAAGGAGAAGGTCCTTTTGAGCCTGCACACCTTTATCAGAGTTTGTGTGACTAATCCTCTGTGTGGATTCACATTGTGTAAGCTAACAGGTCCCATAAAGAGGGCTGGGATAAAGCATGTTGTTCTGCAGCTACTATTGGTACAATAGCACCTTGCAGGGATGTAAGTAAAACAAAATCCTCCTGCTTTCCCTTCCTCTTACGTGCTGTGAGGAGCTGGAGTAGACCAAGGGATTAATTTCATAGCAATGTAATTTATTTGTCATCAGATGTGCACTCCCAGGCAGGACAGGTGAGGCAGGACACATGGAAAATGCTGGCAAGTGCATGGAGGTGGCAGGAGGGGTCTGGACCTTAGTTCCTACTAGCAGAGTTTATTTCAATTTTAAGGTTATTTCTGTCCTCTCTCTGTGCAGCAATTCCTTTTTCCTAGTGCTGCTGGTATCCCTCACATGAGGAGAAGGGGTGAGGAATGGAACATGGCACCCCTTCATGCTGTCAGGCTCCCTGAAGTGATACCTGAACAGACAGATATCATTCCCCACTGGATGTGATCCTCATTAGCATCTGTGATTGCTTTAAGGCAGGGGAGAACAAAGGGCCTGTCTGCTACATTCTGCTCCCTACACACATGGATTCTTCTCTAGTGCCAGAGAATGCCTGGCATCCCCAGGATCACACCTGCTCTGTGCTGCAGGTCGCCCAGGTGTGCTGCTGTTACCTGTGCAGTGTGTCCTGGCAGCAGCTGCCCTGCTGTGCTGTTCTACCTTTTCAGGGCTTCCCTGCATTCCTTGGGCTGGGATTCACAGAGCACTGTCACTGCAGAATTAATTGTCCCAGTACATCAGTAGGGCATGATTCAGACAGGTAAAATGATGGCCAAATACACCCAAATTGTACATCAGTTACTTCTTTAAAAGTGGCACTGGACTGAGCTTAATTTATCAGCTGACTTGGCACGTTAACAGGAAGAGGCTGTGAAATTTCCCACTGCAAGGAGCGTGTCCTGGATCAGACTGGAAGGAGTGGGAATGAGACACTGATCACGAGAGCTCCCAGCTGAGGACTGTATTTCACAGGGCTGGGGACAGCCAAGGTCTGCTGGTGTGAAGGCAGAACAGGTGGGTTTTATTTGTAGCAGGCCAGTAAAGCTGAGCATGCCCGGAGTGAGGTGAGGAGTCTCCCAGCCAGGGCTCCCCGGCTGCAGTGTTCCCCTGACCCCTCCCCTGCAGCCTCAGCTCTCCCCCACTGTCCAAGCACCCTTCCTTCTCCAGCTGAGGTTTAGGTGCTGTCTTCCAGCAGTGTGGGGAAAACCACTTCCCAGTCTCCATGCAATGGTAAACAGCATTTTGAGAAAGGATTTTCCTGCAGGAGCACCTCCAGTGATGTCCCAGCCGACTGCAGGGGCTCAGCCTCTCCCTGCTCAGGGGAGCTGAGCTCTAAGAGCCCTTTACTTTTCTCTCCTTTTTTGCTCTAGATGCCATTAAGGTGAAGAAGAGCCTGGGGCAGAGGTTCCTCAGGTAGACAGCCAGGCAGGGGGTCAGGCCAGCCACAAGCACTTCCTTCTTCTTCTGTCCCACTGCATTGAGAACCACCTGAGCCACCTCGGCCGCCGTCTGTCCCTCGGCCGTGGTCTTGTCCATAACTGCCAAGGGAAAGCTGAGTGAGCACCAACAGCAGCAGGTGAACCCTCACTGAGGTACCCTCCCTAGGAATGCTCTAACAGCACATGGCTGCTTGCTTTGGTTTTACTCCAGCTGTGGATGGGAGCACAGGCACGTGTTCTTCAAAACATGGCCCAGAAGGCAATTGATGTCTGGGAAGGCTAAGTTTTGGGGCTTGCTATTCCTACCCTGCATCCAGAGTTAGTTTTTGATCCTTCAGGGCTAACCTGTGTCCCCACCAGAGGCCATGTGTTGCAAACACACCTTATAATAACATGGAGATGCTTTAGAAATAGGGCAGTGAGTGGTGCCTCACCTCCATAGCGAGATCCATCCGCTGTGATAGCATTGAGGGACAGGTTTGTCTGGATGTACCCAGGGCTCACAACTGTCACTTCAATGTCATACTGCTCCACCTCTGCTCTCAGACAGTCGAAGAAGGCCTGGGTAGCATGCTTAGAGGCAGCATCTGGAAAACAGGAAAACGACTGTGCACCAAGGAATAGGGCTGAAGGAATTTTCCCTTTCTGAATGGATTTTTCACTGCAATGCAGCCACTTCTCAGCAAGAACCCAAGAGCTGTTCCCCAGCCTCTATATTTGTTTTTGTTTAGTGAATGGCAGCAACAGGTAGTGGGAGTCAGAGGCAATTTAGGAAGACAAAATGTAAACTCAAGTTGAAAACTGGCTGGGATCCTGAGCTTAATATCATAGCCCTGCCAAGGCACTCCAGAGTGAACCCAAGCTACCTCCCACTCCTGATAAAGGAGACCCAAAGGCTTAGGAAGGCAGAGCTGGCTGCCCTGCACGTGCTGAGCACTGGGGACTTGCAGAGCAGGTTCAGGGCTTGGCTGCACACATGGCAACACCAGATCAGCCAGGCAGGCAGAGCAGGGAAGCGTGGCCTAGGGCAGGATTTTCCCCCATGAAATGACTGAGTGACTCCTTTTGGCCACTGCCTGTGACTGCCACCACCACGGCAGCAGCACCAGA